ATTAAAGAAAGATCACTAGAAGAGAAGGAAATTTTCTAAGTCTTCCATTAAAAAATAAAACGAAATTAAAAAAAAAAAAAAAAGCTCAGAATTTTGGAGGAATGCCATCTCGGGCAATTTGTCAGCTGCCCTCCTGACATTCAGTTTTGCAATGATTTTAAGTCATAGATTAGGGGACAATAGCTCTTGGGGCTTTTTTTTTTTACAAAGAGATTGCTCTCTCCCTGCTGCCTCTCCTACACTAGCTCTGCTTATGCTGACAGCCACTCCTCAAAACTCAGCTTCGTTACTCTGCTTCTGGATTACCCCATGTCATTTGAGCAGAATGGCACTTTCCTTGCCAGAGTTACTTTGGATGGACAGCCCATAAGAAAACCTTATTTTTTTAACCATGTTCAAACCACTTTTTAAATTATTATTTTTTTTTATTTCTCTTGGAGATCCTGGACGGGGCTGCATGCTCACTCTGTGTAGAACCAACCACAACGTTAAACCCGGCTGTTTCTGTAACAGAAACTATTTTCCACATACGCACTCAGCTTTAAGAAAGAGTAAATGGATTTTTGTCCTTGTTATTGTAGTTACACTCTGCTTTTCTTAAGCAATATCCTGCTTATAATTTTATGTTCTGAAACACATTTTCTTTACACTTGACCGGATCTGCCTGCCTTAATTATTATTGGTTTTATACTAGTTCAGTTCTAATTATTTAATTTTAAAAAATCCTCTGAGCATTAGAGCTGTAGCCAGCAGCTCTGGAATTAGTGCCTCCCCAGGCACCACTCATTTTTGTATTTTTTCGAGAGGCAATTCAGTTGGAAATGTGCACGATGGAGATTCAGTTGTAGACACGTACTTCTTGTTCTAGACATTTCATTTTGGAGCTCAGGCATTTAAATTCAGTGTATTTATTGTGTTACTGGATAGGTGAAAATTACACACACTCTCTTCAATTTCTTTTTTGTGAGATTGGTCTGTGGCACATGTCAAGAAAACCTCCATTAAAGTCAGGCTGTAAAAGAAAGATTGCACTTTATTAGCCAAGGAAACCATATAAGCTTTTAAGGAATGCTGTTACACATTACTGCACCACTCTTTTTTTAAACTTGAAAGACTATTTTTCTTCACAGGAGGCTTGGAGAGAGAAGTTTGGTGTTGTGCTTATAAGCTATGCTCTGTTTAAACTTGAGTGTCTTCAGGGGATATATTGGTGCTTGAACTTGCTCCTGTTGAAATCCCTGGGCCCAGGACTGCACTTTTAGTGATTAATTAGCAGCACTAGCTTTTATCTGCTAAGACGACTGCCAAGTCCTCTACTGTTTTGAAATAGTACCGGAACCAACTTTAAGACACACATGTAACGTTTTCAAAGGGGCTGTTCCCTAAGCACAAGGTGCTCGATCGGGGAGTACTGTGATGCACAAACCTCTTCAGGCGCAGCCCCGTGAAATGTTCCAAGGCACCAGGTTAAGATTATAATATTTTAAGTATCTATTGTTATGACAAAACATTCTCGTACGCAGTTTGAGCAGCTAACTAAGGTTACAATGCTCAGGAGAGAAATAACTTCCCTGTAACAATATGCTTCCCTCAACAGCCACACATTTCCCTACGAGGGAACATACTGGCATTTCCGTGCCACTGATCCAACAAGCTTTTCCTTTCTCAGCTCCTTTTCTGCTCCCACAGACATGATGTGAAAACAGCAGGAAATTGAGAGCTCTCACAACTATCCCCTCCCGAGCACGTGCAGGAATAACACGAGCTGGGGAACGAGTGGAACTCTCCAAGTCCTTATGGAGTTACGGCTAATTGGGGTGGGGTCTGGTATATCGATGACACAAAATGCAAATTCTACAATTTTGTAAAATTTGTCAAGTTGCTGTGCTTATTTTAGAGTGAATTTACTTCAGTACATAACGTGCTTTCAAGGCTTCTGCACCGACTCAGCAATGCTGACTGCTAAGAACAGCAACTGCAAGTAGAGACTAAATTTGTAATATTCACTTGAAAACAAAAATACATTAATAACTTACCATTTTTTTATATAAATGTACAGGCATTAACATATAAAACTATAAAAACACCCCCAAAGTGCTAGCTGTCACAAATTTCCAATAGCATATCTCATCCTGTCTACTTACTCTTTTCCTTGCTTAGAGCATGAAATTTCACAACTGTCACATAATTGTCACATTACCATTTTCTTAATAATGAAGACAAAAGTCATAAGGAGGGAATAAAGCATGTATAGATTCTCTAATAATGAAATAGGTGATGATAATAATAATAATTGAATTACGCTGCTGAGCAACTGAGGTATTTCTTCCGATTACAATGCAATTTTAATCTTTTTTACATACATTATTTCTAAAACATTTTCTCAATGCACAAGCATTACTTAGGTTGTAAAACGCATGCACTTTATCATATGTATGGAATTTCAAATAAACCTTATAAACATGCTAAAAATCTATTCATTAAATAAGCATGGGTTAACCTAAAGATAATCTTTCTCATCTTTCCATACTATCTTTTACAATTTACATGTCATTACTAAAATTATTTTAGCACTGCATATCTCAAAATTGCTCAGTAGTAGCAAATTGGTCATCAGCCTATAGAAACTTTTGTACACAGACAGTAAAACCGCCGTTTTCCCAAAAATGAGAGAAAGAGAGAGAATGTTTAACTTCACACTTACATTCTGGCATTTATCTGGCAGCGTGGGATACACTGACACTCCTAGAGCACGTCTTCAAACCATTCCTTCCATCTTCACCTCACACGTTTTCGCCTTATTTTCCTCCTACTTCTCCCCAGACTGACATGAACTGTAGGCTTTCTTTCAGGGACCCACCTTCATAACCTGCTCAGCAACCAACTTGCCTCCACCCCAGGCAAAAAAGAAAACAAGTTATACCTCCTCCACCCGGCCTCCCCCTGCTCCTGGGAGGCTGCCGTGGCTCTGCATTGCATAAATTCTCCACTAATGTTTTTGCACAAAAGTAAGCCTGGAGAAAATGGGTCTTGGTCAAAACAGATTTTACTTCTGGTGCCTCTTGGCCTACGGTGCAACCAGCGCTTCCTGCACCACAAAAATTGTTCAGTGAAATGTTTCAGTATCAACATGGTGAAGTTATGCATGTTGTCAAGGGAAAAGTAGCACTGGGGGGAACAGCTACTCTGCACTTTGTTTTGCGGTTCGTTTGTGCATTTAAGTTTGCCCTTCATTTTCTCTTAGTACTGTTGAAAGCACTCAGAAAATATCTGTTAACAGATGTTGACATTCCTGTTCAAGTTATGCTGAAATCATTTCCCATTTAATCGTCCTGAAGGGTGGAGACGTGACAAAAACTCTTTGAAATGTGATGTTGCAAGAAGTACTGGTTTATGAGTGAGCTAATTGCTGTTATTAATGTTCATTGTGCGCTCAAGCAATGCTTCCACAAAGGGGTGCTCAGAGAGACAGCTGATAACAAAAGATAGTGTATCATTAGTGGTAACTCCAAGGGATTAACAAATTTCTGCACTCACCAGTGGTGCTCGCTGGTGCTACACAGCAAAGGAATAGTAAACTGTGGGTTTACTGCACCTTGAAGAGCTGCACGGCAGCATTACTGAGTCTAGCATGTCAAATTCCTATTTACGTGAATAAGAACCAGGAATTTCATAAGGTAGCTATGTGCTGGTTGCTGATATTCCTGTGGTTGTTCTCTGCTCCACAAAGTCTTGGTCCACAAACATCTGGCTTGAGAGCATTAGCGATAGGCATGCAATGAACAGCTGCAAGGCCAGGGACGACATGAGCAGCCCTGCCTTTACAAGCTTTCATTTTTTATGAAGTTGGTCATTCATCAATCCGAGCCCCCAGCATTATTATACGTCCTCAGGCCACTGCTACTGATAAAGAATTCCACAGATCTGAAATAAATTATTTGTATTCTCTGAGCTTTTTCAGGTTTTATGATGAGGCACATATGAATGCTTTTGGTGGCATGTGGGTAATACAAGACATCAAATAAATCTGTGATATACCTCCAAGAGTTCAAGATGAAAAAGCCAAGACCTATAGTGAAGCTCAGAAACTAAAATATGTGAAAGTGTCTGTCATATCTCCCCTTCTCTGGTCTCCCCATCCTACTTCCTGGTCTGAAAAAGCTGAAGTTCATCAAATCAAAGTTTTAGTATGCTCTTCCTTAGGAAACTATAGAATTTGTTGTCTACACACAACAAATTATGAAACGTTTTTGCTTAGGCTCTCTGCCATGAATTTAAGAACGAGGATCCTGTGGGAGCTCAGGAAAACACACGCCTGATAATATATCCTCACTTCTGCTAGTGGGATTGTTTCCTCGTAGCAGAAACTGAGCTCATATTTGGTGCTATTCCATTTCTAAAGCTAAGGCAGGAAAATGCCACAAAGTGAAAGTGAGGAAGCTGCCTTGCAAAACAGCAGTCTGGCACATGCTCCAGGGAAAATGACCTTTTGGTAGTTGATCATGGTTTCTGATTCTATCTTTGTATTTTTATCAACACAGATGCAAAAGAGAATCCCCCTGTTGGGCTAACCTTGTGTAAGGTCTGCAAAGCCAGGCAGACAGCTGCACTACTGCCAGAACCATGAGTCATGAGGGAGCGACACGCATGCTAACAGGCGGCAACTGTGCTCTCTGATCTCTGGACCCAGAGCAACTCTGTCAGAGAACACTGACATTATATTTTTGGCCTTGGACAGCAATGAGGGCTTTGACCTGGTCAGTTTTCTGACCCACTCTCACGTCTCAGGCCCTATCCCAACTGTGCCAAGCAATACCTATTCACTGCAAATTGCTCCCTTGCAGTGCTTCTCCTCTGCTCTGCACCAGTATGAAGTCAAATTAATTTCTGTAAACCACTAACTGTGAGAGCACTCATCATCCTCTGATGTCTCAGTTTACTCTCTTTGATTTTATGGTAGAACTAGTGGAAGAAGAGGTACTCACATGGGGCTGCTTTACTGTAATTCTACATCCACGCTTCTTCCTGGAGGGAACTCAAGCTCATCCACAAAGATTGGCCTTTCTTGATAAAAAGAGAATCTAACCCGGGAGGACTGGAAGACTCAAACTAGGAGAAAACACAGATCAGACTTAAAGGTAAGCTACGTGTGTGGTTAATGAACCAGGCATTTCAGTAAGATCCAAATAGTTTGTCGTGAATGATTAAATTTAATGTTAGCATGCACAATATTGGTTACACTTACCAACCACATGCTACATTAGCTTTTATAAATAGAATACATGCTACCTCAAGTATTTATATGAGACAATTTCATTTGGGATCATTTTACTTTACGGTAGAAATACTGCCAAAACAAGATCAAATTTTTATGTTTCTTGCTTGCACGTGTTGATATGACACAGCAAGCACTGAAAGCTCTGCTGAAGCACTGAGCATGAAGTTATATACTGCTGCTCTTGTAGGTAAGAGAAAAGAAAGGGGGAGTCTTCAGAATTTCACTCTTCTCTGACCTTAACTCATGCAAAATAATTTGTGCTTTCTGCATAGAGAATGATACTGTAGAGATCTGCAAGAACAGCTGACCTACAGCAGTCCTTCAGCCCTTGTTTTCTCAAATTCTGGCAGAGCAAACATCAAGATCTGGGAGATAAATCCTAATCTGATCATTACAACTAGTGATCATGTAATGATTTAGAAGTACAGAACTTGGTGGGGAAGATGCTGCTTAGCAGCATCTGCTAGATCTAGCTGGATTTGCTAAAAAATGATGCTGCTGTTTGGCAACAAAAAGCTGAGCCAGCCTGAGAGCTGTAAAATGGCATTTTGCTGTTCTTCCCCCAAAGAGAACACGAACTTGCCTATAGGACCATACACAAGAATTTGGCAATGCACATGAGTCCAAAAACTTGTAGATATTGGAGCACTTCTCTTTCCAAACCACGTCTCTACCAGCATTTTTTCACCAGTTTCCATATGCAGCACTTAAGGCAGTGGGAGGGCTGTGGGTCCAGAAGAGACAGGCAGCTCTGCACAGTGCCACGGCCTCGCTAACCACCCATTTCCAGTACCTGGCTCTGGAGAGATGGCTAAAGATGTGGTAGTTAAGTTCCTGATGCCACAACCAGCTGACAGGATTTGCAAGCTATGGGGGAGGCTGCCCTACATAGCTCACCTGGTCAGCCCGTGCCTATCATTGCACAGGACTGCAGATGATTTCCTTGTTATTACCTCCTGCCTTTTATAAGCAGCTAATTATGATAGATGGAAAATATCTTGCCCATAATGTGTTATGAGACGTCAATTATGAGCCCACATAATTCAGGTCCGTAGCTAACTTGGCAGAGTGCACACATCCTTTCACACTCTAAATGCACACAGTCACCCCCTGAAAGTGAAGGATGCCTGTTCCTAAACCTCAAAAGCAAGGTACGAAGAGCATTACTCTGACTCGGGACAAGTTTTGGAAGGACTGGAGGGAGGTCTGAGGTGAAGAGTGGATTTCTGGAACCTGCTGGCTCTGCTGGTCAGCCTCCTGTGGTGCTGTCACAGCACCGGGGATGGTGGGACACCACTGGGAGAGACAGAAATCCGCGTTATGTTGAGGCAGAAAGGAGACGTAAAGAAGGCAGGGACCAGTTGGTTTAACAGGTCTCTAGAAGAACATGTTAAGTATGGGAAGAACACATCACAGAGTGAGTTACTCCTTGCCTCTTTTCAGATTCCTCCTCCTCCAAACTTTGTTTCTGGCTGTCCCCTCTGAAGAGTTCACCTGTTTCCTCTGTCCACAAGTTTCCATTTTTCTCCTCCCTTTGGCCAAGAGACTCGGTGGACATACAAGGGAGACCAAGGAGGTGCTGGCTTTCTGCTATCTGAGGAGAAGGGCAGAGAGGAGGCAGGCCGTAAAGCTGCTCGGGAGGTGAGAGATTCCTTCCTCCTGGTTCTCCTTTAGCTGTGGAGCTTTAACCAGCTGTCAGCAACTGTCCGTCCCGAATTGTGGATGGCAGCAGTATTTCATCTCCTGCTTTCTTGGCCTGAGGTGTGTGTTGACACGGCAGAGCTGGCAGGACGCAGCTGCTCGCTGGGCCTTGCGTTAGCACACCCTTCACACCCTGTCACAGGAGAGGAGAGCTCCTCCTTGGGCTTCTACACAGCCCCCAGCCCTCAGAGCCTTTCCTCGGGGTTTGGGCAGACAGCAGACGTGCATTGATCTTTTGTGCTGGCCTAATACATGAAACAATCATGTATACACATGCGCATATGCACACATGTATATATTGTATACTATGCATGTATAAATGCATATATCCTGCAGAGGTTATATCCTTCATCATGTCAAAGACCATTTAACTCGAAGCTGCTTTTCATTGTCTCATGATAGCTGTTTGATCACCAAGAATAAATGAGGTTATAAGCTCAGCAACTTAATACTTAGCAATGAATACTATTCTCACTCCTGATGTGCTGTTTTATCTGCAGTGAGGGCAGGCTATGAAAATAAGTCTCTCGGGAGACTGGTATGTCAAGATAGTTTGTTAATAGCAAGTCTTGGGGTTGGTTTCAGACCGAGCAAGGCTTCTGCTCCAATCAAGTGCACCAGATCGTGGCAGGACTAACTGGGAACTGAGTCATCAACCTCCGAAATAATTTTGTAGTCACGATAGTGTTCATAAAGCCATGAGTCGCTGTTTACAACAATGCTGAAGGTGGCTGAAAAAAATATTTACTTTGAAATGGAGTTGATTGTGTCTTGCCAACCTTCTTTGCCAGGAAAATGGTTGCATTAAATAAGCACAATGCTTCCAGGTAGGTAGGGCTACTTATGCAAGAGCTTCTCTGATTTACAAAGCAGGATTAACACTGCCAACATTTTACAAAGGTGGAAACTGAGGCACAGAAAGATTGAGTGATTAGGCCATTAATATATTGTGTAATTTTGGACTAAACAGAAAACTAGGGCTAGTGTTCAGTCCTCAGAATCACAGAGGCATTGTTAAAGACATCACAAATACAGAAGGAAAGACAAGCAGCAAGGCTAAGATCATTTTTACAAGTTTAGGATAATACCTGCATAATAATGAGAATGTTTCCTTACTGTCATTGCCATTGTTCCATCACTGTTATAACAAAATATTATGAATAAAATGAGCAAATGCTTAAGGTGAATGTCAATTATAAACTGATTTTTCCCCTTTACTCCTTTGATTCAGGTAAGCTGGCATGCAAAACAAGATAAAGAGGTCAGTTAAAGACAGTCCCTCAAGTTTTTATGATGATCTGGTGACAATGTTTGGTGCATAAAATGCACGTACTCTAAATTGGAGCTCCTGATATTTGCTCTTGTCATAGTGTCTTTTTTAAAAGATGATCTAATGCCATGTTGATGGGAAGTGGTCCTAGCAATCCACGAGGCTCGGTGATATAAAGTTAACTAAGCTGCTCACTGTTGTTACAGATGGCACAAGCCTTCATCCTTCTGACAGACATAAACCTAATCAGCTTCTCCTAACGACAGATTTAAACTCATATAACATATTGCCGTGTCCTGCTGCGTCTACACTATTTATATTCATGTTATCATTTTCCACTAATATAAACAATATCCAGTTTCAGAAGTTCACTCATAATTTTCAAGTGTATTTTTCCGTCTTTATTGTCAGTGAATACTTTGGGCACAGGCACAGTATTTTAACCCAATCTTGGTTTTGATTTGGAGAAGGTTCCCTGGACACTAGGCTCACAAAATACTGTTATACATAAACTAGGCTCTATATTTACATTTTAAAGCAGGGATTGTAATGATGAAGGAAAAATTGGGAAGAAAATCTTTAGAAATCATCTGCAATATTGGCTTCCCGCATCTGGAAACAGCCTCGTTCAAGATGTCAGTTCCCCATTTTATCTCAAAAAGATTTTAACACCAAAATCTAATTATGTTTTTTGAACATCAGCTGTGGTTATTTTGGTTTTGGTCATTATGACTGATGGGACTTGACAGATGAACAGATGAAACTTGATTCTGCAGTTGGTTTCTATTTATCTACTATTTATCTAGTTATCTACTAACTGTCATTGAGCTGTTCTTTCCTGAGAAAATAACGAAAGGTAATAAAGTGAATGGAAACAAGCAATGTTGGACTAGTTTTCCTCCAGCTGCACCTAAGATGTCTATAACCTTAGTACACGGTGCTGTCACTGCAATCCAGTGGCTGGATTTGTATTTGGATGTGGACTCAAAAGTACAGACGGCAATTCACTGGGGTGAAAAATCATGAGTCAGTGACAATATCTCAAATGATGGCAGAAGAGACCATTGCAACATGAAAAGCAGCATTCAAACTGTGTAGTATGACAGATTTTTTGAGATTTTGTCTTTCAGATACACATGCTATGTGTTTATGCAAATCTTAGAACCGTCTCTTCTGGATACTAAAGATCCAGGTGCCTTTATTTACTGCATGTCCCTGCCTTGCTGGTAAAAACGTATTTTCTGTTAGAGCAGGAGAAAATACTCAAAATGATGCCTAGGCTGATGCTATCTGCAAGTTCACAGACGCCATAGATTTTTGTCTCCCAGGTACAATTGTTTTTAAGTCATCACAGAGCACTTGTAGATATTACTGAATGAAAAAATACAAAACATCTAGTCCTAACTTGAAACCATGACAGAATCAGTCACTAGTACCCAAAAAGGTGGATAGCAACCCAATTTCAAGTCAGCACAATTAGCACAAAATAAGGCCTACAACTGTTCATACAGTTTAAAGGCCATCTAAGATTGGAGGTTATACAATACAATCTTGATTCACTCTATCCTTTTAACTACAGAAGTTGGTATGTTCTGGTATCCAGATGGGATTGTTGTTTTTTTTGTGTGTGTGAGCAAACTCATCCAGGTTACTTGGTGTAGTCCTGTACATCTAGAATGGAATAGTATTCTTCCCTGAAAAGGGTGATAGCCTTTGGCTGACCCAAACCTCTTCAATCTTCAGAGGTGAGAAGAGAACCTGACACAGAAAGATGTGGTGAGACTGTGGGATAAGTTAATGTAAAAAGCTTAAGCTCAATTTCCAAAATTCTTGAAATCTCTTTACCAATAGAAATGGTTTAATAGTGCCATGGTTTCAATACTGGAGTAATGCAGGGACTAAGTACTACAAGCATAACAACCAAGAAATGGAAAGGCTGGTTTATTACAGTGCAAGAATGTCATCCTTAGTGAAAATAATGCTCATGCTCAATGCTCCTGACACACATTACCTTTTGATGTGAACAGTGTAATGAATTAAGAGTCCACCAGAGAAACTGGAAAAAAAAATACTTTAGGTAGACCACGAGTTTAAATGTCCTGCCCCCTTGCATCATGCAGAGATTTTCATATGGGTTCCATAAAATTGTGCAATGCTCCAAATTTGTGGCTAAAAGCAGCTCTTTCTCATAAAGAAAGCAGTTAAGAGCAATTTTCAGTTTACAGTTGGAAGTGACATGGAAACTGTGAGCAACAGACAATGTAGCAAGTAGGCAGGCAGCTTATTCCAACAGCTAGTAATAATTACTCTAGTTTCAGTTCAATATGTTGTATATGTAATACAGACAGACACATAGAGAAATATAAAAACCAAGTCATTATAGGCTAATCAAAACTTCTGGGAAGATGAAAAATAGGACAACAGCTCACATTATACTAGGATAAGAGTAAGAAAAGTGAACGACAGCTATGTCTAATACATCCCACACATATTTCCATCAAGTGTTAAGGAATTCACAATCTATGCCACGTGAAAAAATCAAAAACAAAACAGAGCTGTTTAAAATCTAGGCGTGCAAGGTCCACAACTGCAGATTTATTAAACTGAGCTATAAAAACTAGGATTTTCATACTCATGAGCTGCTTTTTTTGTACTTTTTTTTTCTTCCCTTCCTGCAAGAGTCTTTGTGCTTCTGGCTTCAACAAGATGCGGTGCTGTTTACAATGTCAAAGATTGTTAACATCAAGGATTGTTTGTGCTCCAGAAGACCTAGACACATCTCTGACTTTTTTGGAGGGTTAGCAAAAATTGGACACTGAACTTTAAGTACATGGAGGTGGTGTTATGTGGCTAACACTTCATAGAGTCATAGAAAACAAGACTAATGAAGGGTGTATCTCCTTCACACACACACACTCCTCTTTCTTTTTTTCCAGGTCTTAAAGAGGAAACCTATTTTGGGAATGGGAAAAAATGCTCTTAAACTATCTTTCCCAAAGAAATCCTTGGCAAATACACATCTAATTTGACCACTTCCTCAGTCAGATCTATTCTGCACGAACAGCTGTAGTGTTGTGTTGGTTCACTGCTAAAGTTTCTTGTTTTACTTCATTATCACTAAGGAGATTATCTCATGGTCCTGCTTTCTCAATCACAATTATACCAGTCCTGTTTTCTTCTAAAATATCTCTGTTGCAAATACGGTGACACAAAAGAATTATTAGCATGAGATCTAACTCGTTTTGGTGGCAAGAAGTGTTTATACACCCAGTCAGCTTGCTGTGAATCAGAGAACCTTTTCTGGTTACTTATATTCAGAAAAGCAGATTTCATCTAGGTAACAATCAAATCATTCTTACCTTTTATTTATGTAGACAGAATTTAGTGCTAGGAGTCCTATACAATTCCCCGCAGCACACTGCTGCTTTGCACACGAAGCAAACAAACACCTCCTAATCCATTTGCAAGGAGTCAGGGTTGGCCGAGCCTTGGGTTTGCCCAAGAACCAAGAGCGCTAGGCGGATCATATGTTTACTGTGAAACCAGAGGAGTAAATGAGTCTGTCAAGTCCTAACTAGCATTTTATGACAAATTTATTTTGGCAAGAATATGTATTTCAGTATTTTGTCAAACCTGCTGAGCCTTGTATACTCTGTACGTGTGCTGATGAACTGACATTTTCACAGTACCCTGTGCTCAGGAGCTTCTAATGAAAAATAACACACAAAAAATAAATCAAACTTTTTGTTTCACCATGCCATATTTAGAAGCTGGTAGTTAAAAATAATTATGTCAAGAAAAATAAAAACTATATCTGTGATGGCTTTACTGTCATAATGGCTATTAGCAATGTAACTCTTCAAACCATTAGTTGTGCAATTGAATGTGGTATCAAGTAATTGGATTTAAGCTCTTCCATTAGGTTTAAACTCAGATCATAGATGTAGGATAAATGTTTACTCTCTTCAGACTTGCTATGGAGTTGAGGGGCTCCTGTAAATGTTTTTCCACTGGCACAGGGAAAACACAAATGCTGACATGAAAGTTTTCTGCAGGCTGGGTAGTGGCTTCTGCCTTCCCCAGAGTGAAAGCCAATCTTTTCAGATAAATGTTCAGATGGTAGTATGAAAGCTTAGTTTGACTTTCTTTGTGGAAAGAAGCAGCACAGCACTGATTAAAAGATGCTCAATACCACAGGCCACCCATTATCAAAAATGTCATAAAAGATTAGAGAGATAAGAGGGTTTTAAAGAAACCCTCAGGTGACAAGAGGAATATCCTCAATATTCTTCAAAAATACTTTCCTCCTTCCTGCCATCCAGATGAATGCAAGTTGCAAGTGACCACAGAGACCCTGAGAGACCTCAGTCTGGAGCTGATTGCACAATCTGAACCTCCACAGAGATGTCTCCTGCTTCCCTCTGCCATCCCTAGGCTCTGGAAGGCCTCCAAACTATTGCTTCTCCTTCTATTGCTGTTCTGCTTGTTTTGTATCATGCCTCACAAAATAATTCATAAGCAATTTATGATATGTGAGTTTTTTATTAGGGGGAAATGGTCTCTGGGCATATCTGTGAGTATGAAGTACGCAGCTGGAACTGAGGGCATTCATTGTATTTCTTTTCTTTTTTTTTTAGGTTGCTGGACAGGTGCCCTTTTAACCTGTCCCACAAACTGGTGCCCATGTGAAAATTCAAGCAGATCCAGTCACCGACAAGTTGCTTTATTGATAATTAACCAAGCTCTAACCCAGACCAGGTAAGACCTTTTTCCTGGACGAGGTTGCTTTAAGTTTCTTTCCACAGCTCGCTCTGGGATTGCCAAAAGGCTTGATGAAAAATACTAACTGGCTAATTCTGGAGCACGTGCGAACTGATTGCTGATCTCTGTAGAGCAGGGTAGCCAGGCCTGTCCTTGTCACAGATCTCTGTCTTAAAGGTGGAAAAATGCACCTGTAGATGTGGATGTAGATGGAGATGTAGAGGGCAGGGCATGGGAAACGAAGCCAGCGAGGCTTAGCTCTTCCACCCATAGGCTCCTCTGACTTTTCTGGCCAACTACAAACCATTCTACCTTTCTCATTCCCCAGATCCCTTTAAAATAATATTTATGGAGGTATGTATTAACGTCCAATCAATTCATCCCTAAATCAGTAATAATAAAGTTTTTACATGAAGGGATGTATTTCTTTTCCCTGAACTGTACAGCAGGCTGCTAACCCATCTCTTGGGGTGTGTAAAGGAAAAAAGAGCTGCTCCTAGGTAATTATCAGCTTGATAATTATCACCTGTGAGAAATAAATTCAAGCTTTAAGCACCCTATTTAGTAGATAAGATCAGATTCTGTAGGAGATAACTACAAGGAGCCTGTCTGCCATTGTTTTTCTGTGTCTGTCAATATGATCCTTAGTTTCTGCCTGAAGAAACCTATCTTTTTAAAGATAAACCTATCTTTTTAAAGACGGATTACTTGAAAAATAGTTTCCAAAACATACCCGAACCCTGGCAATATAAACCATAGTCATTAGAAAAATGCAGAAATGATTCAAGTTGCTGTGCTCTTTCATGTTGGCAAGAGATTTTAATATAATGTCACTAATGTTCAAAATAATAGTATTATGATCAATTTCTTGTTAATATCAAACTAGAGAAGCATTCTTTTAATCTGCTTGATTCTCATAGTAGGAGAGGCTAGAGGTGACTTCAGCTACCCCTAGATCTATAAAAGGTTTGGGTCACCAGAGGTAATATTCTGCCTATTCAGTGTGATGTTTTACAGCCTGAAGCAAGCTTTAGTATGAAAGGACAACGTAGGATGGCCAGTTCTCACTTAAGAACATGGTCATACATCTGCATACTCTTTCTAGTGACTAGCCAGCTAATTTTATCTCTGAAATTCTGCATATGAAACACATTCTTGTCGTTACATGGCAACTTAACATCAACAAGCAACCCTTTCTGCAACAAATCCTTAGGACTATTTCTGAAGAAAGAACAACAGTGGAAGAGAGCCATATTTAAAAACTCCAGCATTTGCAAATAGCTATTACAGTCTGTAATGTTGTAACATGTTTTTAAAATATCTATTTTAGGACATGCATACTTATATCAGTCTGCTGGTCTTAGAAAGATACCGATTAAATAGACATCATCCTGTAGACTACTTTCTAGGTTATGGGGATTGTAAAACAAGTTATACAAGAGATCATGAAACTATAGAACCTCAAAGGAGCCTCTGCTTTTTTTTCTGGTAAGCAGAAAAGTTTCTTTTACTTATAAGGCACTCCCTTTGCCTTTTGGTAATGTCTAAAATATAATTAGCAAACTGTTCTGAGTCTAGACATTTTTAAATTTAAAGAACTGAGAAAAAAATTACTTACCAATTTTCCTCTAGACTAAAAATGAAAATATACCACTCAGAGTACCACTGATTTTTATAACCTTCTGCACTCCTTCACTCCTAGCTGGTGTATGGATCCCCTTTCTCCCTGGATCACATGAAAGAGTTCTATTAATGTGAATTGGCTTATGTTTGAGAACACTATGCTGGATAGCTATGAAGTGTAAGGAATCTGACCCAGGGAGCTGCAGGGCTGTGACACATCAGTTCTTTACAGGGATTCTCAGTTGCTGGATGAGAATAACACAAGATAGGTCCCGTACACCGTGTGCAGTCTGCTGTCATCGTTGTTGGTGGTATACTGGTTACTTGAGGCAGTGAGACAAGCTCCGTGATACACCAATGTAACTGGAATTTGCCCCTCTGGCTTTCATTCCAGGGCTATAACTAAGTGTCAGGCTGTCTCTCCCACTTGACTAACTCAGTAAGTTAAGTTTGGGAAAACTATTCATGACTAACACACATAGCCATGGCATGGCTACAAGTGATTGTTGCCTTAAGAAAAACACTGCGAGCCAGCACTGCTCTGCATATTTCATGAGGAATGCTTTGCTGGAGTTCAGAACAAACACTCGAAGTCTGGGAATGCTGGTGGATTACCTGGCAGGAGGAGAGAAGGAAAAAGCAGAAGTCTCTTGCCACCATGCCATTCTTCATCCCTTCGCCTGTGTTTAGTCTTCTCTCGCCCACACAGTCAGCCAGGAGGGAAAGCAGCTCGTCTTTTCTCACTACGGATAAGATGGATCTTTCAGCCCACTTGTCTGAATGTAGTGGTTGAAGAAAGCAAGCCCAACAACAGGGTTAATTTTACTCCAAGGGAAGCAAGCCTTAACTATCTTCCATAGAAGAGCATTACATCTGTGACCTTTGTGGAAAAAAACAACATGCCACTTCAGCACAGAGATGTCTTAACTCCCAAAGGAGGTGTCACTGAAAACAGAAACCCACACCAATCGCCAAAACGACTTTTAAACAGAGCAGATTTTCGGTTGCACTTCTGAAAAATTCTCCTGTGGAATACATTATTTCAGAGAGGAAAAAACGTATTCCATTTTAATAGGTCAGGAGCTAGATGCCTTTAAATACATGTAATAAAAATATAATCAAGTCAGCACAACATGTGAAGAAATGACTGCTGTGATAAGATAAAGCCTACTGCAGAAGTACTTAGGTTGAAGTTGACTGCTTGCACGGTGTTGGCAATGTCTAAAGGGTGATAACTGCCAGAGATTGCTATAAAGAAAAATGAATTCCCATGAGTTTACTGGGAATACAGAAATTACTGGCATATTAAAAGTCCAAATAGTTGATGTGCAGTTATGCAGAATACTATGGACACAACTCTACAGAGTGCTAACTGGCTCTTTTTCTTTTCTCCCTTCAAAAACCTGTTCTGCATTTGCTTTTAATTCCTTTGTTCCTCCATTAAAAATGTATGGGATGGACCACCAAGGCAGCAGCTGTCTGGCTATTCTCTGCTCTGATGCATCATTAATGTATGTATATGCTTCCTGCTCCTTGCAAAGACTTTTTTTTTTCCTTTTTATTTTTATTTATTTATTTATTTTTTCTAAAATACACTGCTATTTGAGTGCAGGTAAATAATGGAAGGTTTTGAGCATTTTTGCCTGTGCCAGGGTGACTCTCGCAGGTTGTCGTAGCAACACTGTGTCAGTGTGTCACTTAATGAAATATTCCTAATCGTTAAAAAGAAATCCTTAAAAAGGAGTTCCTGGTGCCTAAAAGGGTCTGATCCTGCCCATTTTTTTCCCCAACATCCCAGCAGATTGGGTCCCACGTTTTTCAGAGCTCTATTAATAATTGTTCCCCTGGAAATAACTTCTCAGACTGGCACAACGTATACTGTGAGGTGATGGGCTGTAACCTAATCCACTGTGCTGAAAGAGTATCTGGTGCCAGGTTTTTACCTCCCACAGGATTATCTGTAAATACGGAAAGAAAAGCTTCTGCAAAACCCAAGTATATAAACATACACTTACTTCTACACAAAAGCAAATTCCCCTCATCTGTATTTGCTTGCAGAGCTGGCAGCTGACTGGCAAATATCTCAGACGTTTTATTTCTGGTGTTTTCAATTAGTTTAGGACCCATTTCAGATTACCAGGATTGTCTGTATGTCAGAAACAGCTGTCACTGTGCAACAGGTCCTGTGTTGCAATTTTCTTAAATAATGAGTTTCTTATTTTGTCTCTTCATCCTGAACAGTAACATTTATTTTAGTGTATTCAAGGGAAATGCAAAAAGTTTATTCTTTAGTATCATACGCAGCAGTCTTAGGCAGAGACTAACCTGTCACATTTTAAAATGTTTTTTCCATTAAATCTTGGAAACACCTGCAGGCAGATTGGGGATCTTTGCACCAGAAGAGTGATTTTCTAGAACCGGGCAAATGATTAGATTTGTTACTAAATCTTCTGGTGGTAGGTCCAGAGTTTATTGGCTGTAGATGAGCACCAGCATGCTGGGCAGCTCCTGAGCTGTCTGAGACGCACAGTCACCACCACTGGTAATTAACTTTGCAGCACTGTAAGAAATAACATTATTTCTCTGTACTTCATGACAACAGGGACTGCCTACTGCTTGCTGAAATACAGCATCCATCTGAGCAGCTGTATCATGATATATACAAAACGTGCAGTGCTCAGAACTGAAATTCAGCTGGAGGCTCTAGTTCGGTTCTACCTGCCACATAGCCCTGTGTCACTCTCTAGCCATGAGACAACACACTGAGGTTTGTGCTGGCTGACACTTCCACTCCTGAAATGCTGTCTTCTTGCAGAATAATGCAGTTATACCTTTCTGTTCATTGCTCCCAGATTTGGTTTCCCTAGATGACCCAAGAGGAGACGATACTTGATTATGCTGTCTGAAACCACCAGTCCATCCTCTGCAACACAAACACGGAGTAGGAATTAGGAATAGCGCCCAACTTCTGTCTCACACATAGCTGTGTAGCACGTGCTGTGACAGACTGGTCCACATGGAGAACAGCAGAAGGCTTCTCCTCTCCTCCTACCACTCCCAAGTGACATATGTAGCTTCAGTGAAAGAGGTTTTTGTGATGAAACTGAAAACTGATTTCACATTGCACTCCACTGATCCATGTGGGGAGGTCTTTCTTCCCATGTAAATACAAGCTGCTGAAGGACTGCAATGGTAATTGTTGAAATCATTTTATAGTGCGCAATATTCTTGTTAAAAGTGAATTTGTATGCTGTGCAGTATTTGTCGTGCCATTCTGCTTTTTAGTGTTTAATTTTTTGTTAATGTGGGTTGCCTCTTTTAGAACACTTTGCCATTTTATTGTACACTCGAGACAAAGAACAGTCTGTGGGATGTTTTGCTCTTGTACCCAATGAGTAAAAGGCCCTGCTTGTCTAAGCACCAAGAAAGGTCAAACATGGATTTCAAGAAAGCAAGCATCATCTTCAGAAACAAGATTAGTGTTTGTATGAGACTGGATACAACCCCATTTCCTCAGCAAGGCACCGAACCCTCCAGCTTGTACTGAACCTTTCCCTGTGCCTTGCACCCACCTCAGCATTTTGCATTTTGCTCTGCATTTCAAAGTCCTTGGAACAGGGAACATTTCTTACTATTTGTGCATTGCACTGTACAATGGGCCCCAGTCTTGTTTGGATCCTCTTGTGAGACTTTTTGTGTTAGGGTCTAAAAGCATATTGCTCATAATCAACTTGAGACACAAATTTGACAGCACGCTACTAGTCACACAAAGAATAGGAAATTGTTTAATAGCCAGAACTATAAGTCGACCTTTTGTATTGAAAACCAAAATAGTTTAAAAATATATTTTGAAAGATCATTTATGCATATTTTACAGTCTGTAGTCCAGCAGAAGTAGTGATTTGGGGAAGACAAGGTAGATCCATGGCACTACATTAAATCAGTCTCACCTATGAAGATGTTTTAGAATACCTGCTAAAAATACTCTAACAAAACTCTGTGATGATTAAAGCAACACAATAGTATTAATCACATAATGAAGTACAGTGAAATCTATTTATATTTTGCAGGATTAATTTGAACTTATAAGCAGAGAAAACTACAAATATATTCCTAGGTTGCTTGCAAAGAAAAGGTATATGCTTACATTTAACAAAGTTCTTAAAAATCAACTTTTAATGTTCAGTGTTGTTCCTCTAATGGTGTATTATAATAAAACTTATAATTTGGAATTTCTGTGTCAAATTACATAGGGTAAGCATTTTAAAAAGACAAAATATTGTGGTGTATGTTGCCTTTGAAACCATGTTTTTGGTTAAAGTCACCATTTATGATAACTTTGTTGGAGTCAACGGATTCACACAAGCAATTTATTTTGATGGGCAATCCACTTGCATGGATCAGCACAGTTCCTGGGCAACATTTATACAACAGTATTTGTACAACAGTTCTGATGGTTATGGTCAAGTATGAGAAAATAAGTGCCCATTTGCTGGGCTACTGCTCCCAGGTGGAAGCCAGATCCAGCATCACAAGCCCAACCCTAATGATGCTGGTACAGGGAGAAGAACAGAACGAGAGAGGTGAAATTATCTACTAAAATAAGGGTTTGGTCTGTAACATAAACTCATTCCTCATTAAATTAAAATTTTAATATAGCTGAATTTTCTGGACTTGTTTGGGATCTTGTTCTGGACTTGGTTTGGGATCGTTTAAAAATACAGACTGTTATTTCTTCCAGCCTGGTAAATTAATAGCATGCATTCTCTCATCTAACTTTGGTGTCTTTTGTATAAACTATGCTGCTGCTCCTAATTAACTAGCTTACCTGTCTGTTCCACTTCAGAGCATGCATTTGTTAATGTATGTGTAATATAATGTGTTTGTATTTGTATTTGTTAATGTATGTGTGGTATAATGTATGTTAATGTATGAGCACAGACCTTTACTTAGTGACTAATTAATCTATGTGTATTATATTGGTCTATTCTCCCACATGCCTGGTGACAGGACGAGGGGGAACAGGCTAAAGTTGCGCCAGGGGAGGTTTAGGTTGGATATTAGGAAGAACTTCTTTACTGAGAGGGTTGTGAGGCATTGGGATGGGCTGCCCAGGGGAGTGGTGGAGTCACCATCCCTGGAGGTCTTTAAAAGATGTTTAGATGTTGAACTTAGCGATATGGTTTAGTGGAGGACTTGTTAGTGTTAGCTCAGAGGTTGGACCGGGTGATCTTGAGGTCTCTTCCCACCTAGATGGTTCTGTGCTGTGTCCAGTGGAGATGCTCAGTCAGGTGCCTGATCCCTTTGCCTGCAATTTTTACCTCATCTTCCCCTCAGATATCAGAAAAGCTCGAAAGCAGATGAAAGATGTGGCGGTATTCCCCACGGATTTATTCCCCACGGCTTTATTCACCACAACTTCCCACCCCTAACCCCAGCCAAAGCTCGGAGCCCCCCCTCAGCCGAGCTGCGGGGCAGGTGCCGCCTCTGGGAGCCGCCTCCATTGGCGTCGCCGCGCGGGCGTCGCCCCCTGCCGGGGCCGTTCCGCCATAGCCGCCCCGCTCCCGCTCCGCCATTGAGGCTGGGCGGGAAGCCGCCGCCGCCCGTTGCTCCCTCAGCTCGGGCCGCGGCCGCCATTTGCCGCCGCCGCGGGGGCTCGGCCCCTGCCTTGCCGGCGGCGATGTCGGAGGCGGGCGGCAGCGGCGAGTCCTCCCCGCGGGGCTCCGAGCCGGGCTCCGGCCGCTTCTCGCTGCCCCTCGCCTCCCAAAACGGCTCCGCGGAGCAGCGGCGGCGGCGGCGGCTCTCCAGCAGGCTCGGCCGGCCGCCGGCCGTCGGGGAAGACGAGGAGGAAGAGGAGGAGGAGGAGGAGGAGGAGGGAGGAGGAGAAGGGCCGCGGAGGGCGGAGGGCAGCGCGGACGAGCGCAGCCGGAGGATGATCCGCAACCAGTACCGGGAGCTGATCTGCAGCGTGCAGCGTGAGCAGCGGGGCTGGGGGGCCCTCACCCCTTACCCATCCCCCCCAGGCCTCCTGGCAGTGCTGGGGGGGCTCCTGCCCAAACGGGAGGAGGGGTTTCGGCTGCTGCCATGTGCAGGGGTTGTGTGTTTGTAACGTTGGGACCCTTCCCGCTCGAGGAGGCGCTGCCGGGTGGAGGAGGATGTGGTGTGGGTTTCTGCAGCCTCGCTGTGTTTGTAGGGCTGTTTGATAAGAGAACACAGCACAGTTTGTGGACGGTGACTGTATATATATAAGAAAAGCAACTGTGTTATGTCCAGGTATTGAGCACGCTCTTAAACGAACGTACATAGCTGTTGGGAATTGCACATCTCAAAGCCTTGTTAAATTGTACTCACATCATTACACACAAGTAAGTTGTTTCGCCTGGTGATCTTCAGAAATCACCAGGCATACATTTTTCCCTTTCTTCTATATTTATTTTTTTCCTGGAAGTCCCTGATTAATGTGAACATATAACATGAATGACACCAAGAAGGCTACAGTTTGGCACAGGTACAGGTGTTTAGCTGGGACTAACAGGAATCGGATCCACCGGGTTGTGAGCAATTAAATGAGTTTTGGAGTGGTGAAATTGATGCACGTACCTAACACAACTTCAGTAGATGGTGCAGTTCCACGTAAATTCAGCTGCATGAATCATATTCCTTTGAAATAAATGGAAAATTGCCCCTTCAAACCAATCTAATGCATTAGCATTAATAAGAACAGAGACTAAAAATCTTGCAGTGAATCTTTGACTGTATTCCATATCTGTTATTTATAAAGGAATACAAGCAAGACAGTTTTGAGTAAGGAGTAAATGTGTATTTCTTGGTGCTTCCATATTTAAGTGATTTAGGATTTCATTTGTGTCCTGTCCACCTAGAAAACCGTGAGGATGTGCTGAGTTCGAAAAGCAACAGACTGACAGAAGCTTTGGAAGAAGCCAATAAACTGTTCAGTGGAGGTAAAACAAATTCTGTAGTCCTTGTTAGACATGATTGCTTGAGTAAATAACGTCTTAATAAACAAAATGGCAAGAAGATGAAGTTTATATCCAAGTACTTTGGCATAAAAAATAATGTATAACTCGAAATAGATTTGTTAAGCTGAAGAGGAATTGTTTGAATAAGGTTATATGGGAAAACAAATTTCTCTTTTTTAATGTTTATTTGCAGTTAGAAATGCTTCTTGCTTTATGTTGACTTTCTAGGAAAACATACATAAGTAGTACCCAAGATGTTAGTGTAGGTAGGCTTGTTTCACTTGGAGAGAAGCAAAAAAAACTGTCAATGAAATACACTCTTGATTTTTCAAGATAACTTGTTAGTTCTCCATGCTTGCCTTTGCCAGGCTTATCCTCTACTTTTTCTTTTTTTTTTTAAATGTAAATATGAGTATTCTGTAAGAAATTGCACTACAGCCTGCACTTGAATTCATTGCAATAAGATGATTTAGAGAATATCCTGGGTATAGAGCTTTGTTTGCTGAATTTCATTGTTTCTGGCAATGGCTTGTTATTAATATACAGCCTTTTTCTTCTGTAACAGTTTTGTGTGCACGAGAGGCTGCGCTGGATGCTCAATTTCTTGTCATAGCATCAAATCTAGGAAAGGAGAAAGCTAATGAGTTGCGCTCAGAGATGACAACATTTGAATCACTAACATTTGCAGAAGACTTGGTAAGTTCCAGACTCAGAATTTACCAGCAGTTTTGCTAGAGGTTTACCCTTTTTGTTATAGAATCATAAAAAATTGTCAGGCAGTACCTGACAGTTCTGAAATAATTTAAGTCTTCCCATGAATTTCTTTGATTAACTCTGTGGTTAGTTTTGTTAACTGTTTTAAATAATGGATTCAGCATTTCCAATTTGCGTAGGGGAAAATCTTACCTTGCAAATGTAGGCATCTCCTCTGCCCCTGCTACTTTATCACGGTTTTGTCCGTTCGTGCTCTTATGATAGCCTTTTATGCTTTCTTTTACCATGTTCAGTAGTTTCACATTAGTTAACTAGTGTCTTTATCTTGTCCAATGCTACATTTGTTTTTGGATGAAGTTTTCAAGGTCCTTTGTGACTCATAGAATGGGACTTTGTGTTATTTGGACATGTAGACATGCCATGATTGACTGCTTTAATCATGGATGGATGGAAGAATGGATTCACAACAGCATTGAAACATTCTTCAAAACATAAAAGGCTGTACTTAATCTCTAACTTTTGTTGTCATCTGTAATATAAGAAACAGGTTAATTGAGGGAGGGGAATGCATTTCTTTTGTTCTAATGAAATACTGGGAAATATAAGACTGATTTATACCTGAAAGTTTAAGATCTCTTGAAATGAGATTTAACTTCAGTCCCCATTTGCTTGCGGTCCATGCATTTCTCTTACGTGGTGTTTCTGTTTTGGCTGACTTCTGTGAAGAACTACAAGTCATTCACTTCTAAATGAAAATATTACATTGCTAAGTACTAAGACTGGATTTTGTCATTTAGCTTATATAAAAATGTATCTAAGTTTAGGGATTTAACTCCTTTTAATCAAAGGGAATTAAATATCAGACAGTGTAGCTCTTGATTGTATACGTCAGAAATCCAAATGTGCTTTTGTTTTCACTATCTTCAGGAAAGTCAAGGTCCATTTGTTATACAGTGATATTAAATACTAATTTAGCAGGACAGACACCATAACACAGTATTTTACCATTAATCTGTGTATTCATCTTTTGTGAAGCAAATTTTCATTACAGTTTTTTTCTTTTGTAGCTAACATTCATGGGTATAAATCGTATAGAAGTAGATGGAAATGATAGCGATACCGAGAACGTTTCAGCTGGCTATTTACCTAGTAATGCCTGGCATAAGCTGGGAGAAGAAGCAGAAAAGTACTTCAGAAGAGCACCTTCTTTTCACTACATGTAAGTTTATTTAAGGAAGTACTGTATACTGCAGCACAGGCTAATGGCCCTAGTTGGTGTTCATTCTAAAAACCAAATTTCTTACCTTTGATGCCCTGGTCTTGAGTAGAGTTTAATCTCTGATCACAAAGTGTCAACAAGAGCTTCTACATGGCCTCTGTTCTTCTGTTATGGTGAACTTATCTTCAAAACTTGTCATGATATTTGTTTGATTCTGTTTTGGCCTGGATACAAAAATACCATATGTGTATAGCAGGGGTAGCAAGGTACGTCTGTTTTATCAGTTTCAAACTAAAAACAGAAGATGTAAGTGTCCCTCTTTCCTCTGAAAGCTGACTCTTCTGTCCCTTTTCCCTCCCTGTACAAGCTACAGGCAGAAGTACAAATTGAGGAACCTTTATTTGTCCCTCCAGACATTTACAGACCGTGATGAACGGTCTTTCTGTATCTTTTATGGTATTATGCTGAGGAGACCAGCACAACATCTCACGTCTGTGTTAATGGGTTGTCTTTTTAGAACCTTGCTTCTTGCTCTGCCTTCAGACGAGAAGCCACCTGATTACTTGCAGGTGGCCATTTGTAGGATCGGTGTCATCTCTCTCTTTATGCTTTAGGCAATCTATTTAGTAGGACTTTTTAGCTGCTGTGACCATTAGTCATTTGGCTTATAGCCAACACTTCAATTTCAATCTCTCAAATTCAGCCTACAACAGCAGGATCTATTTTTATTAAATTCTCAGCAGTAGAGTTGGCAGAATATTATTCAGTTGTCTATGCTTCTGCACTTCTTCCACTCCCTAATTTTAAGAAATTTGCTGGATACAATACTGTGATCAGATACTGTACGATACTTGATATTGGAATGCTACTTGAGATATTTCAAATCTATGTTTCCACTTTCAAGATGAAAGTTCCTGTGTCCATCTCTTCTTATCCAAGGTCTAAATTCTTTTTTTTTTTTTAATCTTATTTTTTTTAATATGTATATTCTTTTTATTCTGTTTAGGTTGGGATCTTTCAAGTCTGATCCTCCTGTACCGAGGCAACGGATTGAGAGGCAGAAAAAGGCTGCAGGAGGGCAAGAAAAACGGGCAATGCCTGCTCAGGTTTGTGAACTGTTACCTTTTATTAATGAATTGTATGGCATTACTACTTATCAAGAGGTGTAAAAAGCC